ATTTAAAATAAAAAATCCTTTAATAAAATTAATTAATTAATTAAAAATATATTTATTATATTTGTAATTTATGCAGCTCTCCTCTGGCTAAAAAAGACTCATTTTCCTTGTAAATTTAAGATAAGACGGTAGTATTTGTGCCATCTCTTTTAGATTCTCCTTTAAGTCCTTAATCCTAAGTTCCAGCACACTGCCTCCGCGCACTGCGCACTACTCCACTTTCCGTCGCCTTCTCCTCCACCAAGCACTAGCTACTTGCTGCGGCTTTCTTGACGTTAGATCTCGGCTGATGGCGAGGCGATCTCCGGTTCTGCCTCTGGTGGCGTTTCTGGCATTTGTTGGAACCGTCGAGGCTGTTGTTTTCTCTTCCAGGCTTTTCCACCGGTTTTCCGATGAAGCAAGAGCGCTTAAGTTCGGAAAAAACGGCGTCGTCCCCTGGCCGGAGAAGAGAAGCTTGGAGTATTACGAGGCTCTTGTGAGCAGTGATTTTAAGAGGCAGAAGATGAAGCTCGGACCTAAATACCAGCTTGTTTTTCCTTCTCAAGGGAGCAATACCATGTCTCTTGGGAATGACTTTGGATGGTACGGTTAATTGTTCCTTTGCGTTCTTAATTTCTGTTTTTCTGTCAATTTTTTAAAACTGTTTTGATTGTTAGTTAGCAATTTAGTTCCTTCTCCTGATTAAATCAGAGAAACTCTTTTTTTCTATTTTTCTTAGGATGTTGACATCTTATGGAGAAAAATTAGAATTCAAGGAATGTTATAAAATTCCTCATTTCTTTATTTAGTAGAGGAGAAACTTATATGGATCCCTGCAAAGCTAAATGGAGCTGAAACAATGTCAAATTTGCAATCTTTTTTTTTTTTCGTTGAATTTTCAAATTATTAAGTATGGTTGAGACTTGTGAGTGTCTGGTACTGTCACTGAGTAATATCTCAAGTTTACTGTTTTAGGTTACACTATACCTGGATCGATATAGGGACACCAAATGTTTCTTTTCTTGTTGCGCTGGATGCTGGGAGTGATCTACTTTGGATTCCATGTGATTGTCAACAATGTGCTCCACTTTCTGCTAGTTACTACAGTAGTTTGGTAAGCCATCTTTCAAAAAATCATGTCTTTAATTTAATCACTTGTATTGTTTACTTTCAGGACAATTTTTTGTCAGTTCAATTTTTATTGCACTTTTATGCATTCTGGTTCTTTGCTCTTGTTTGAAAACTGTATATCATGTACTTCCCCATAGGCATCCTATCCTTAACTTTCTTTTATTCCCGGATGCAAATACCTGCATGATGCTTCTGAATGCATATTTTAAGGCGTATCATATTGTCTTTGATAGGCACAGAACTTTTTGCCTTTTAGTGGTCTATTAAGCATTTTTATTTCTACATTTATCCAATTAAACTGAGTTCAACTTTTTAACTTCATTAAAGTCTGGCTTTTGTTATTTGCCACTTGAAGGAAATTTTTTCTCTTTGCAAGTCTGGCTGTATTTGCACACACACAGACACATATAGTGTAAATTAACTCTCATTGCCTTTTCTTTTGATGAGCATGAAGTCTATGTTGAGGAAGCAGGTTTAGCACTTATTTCCAATGATTGATTGGCAGGTGCTCCCTCATTTATGGGGCATCTATTATGCAGGACAGAGATCTAAATGAGTACAGACCATCTAGTTCAAGCACCAGCAGGCATGTTTCTTGTAGCCATCAGTTATGTGAATATGGTCCAAACTGCAAAAGCGCTAAGCAGCAATGCCCTTACACTATGGCCTATTACACAGAAAACACTTCAAGTTCTGGATTCCTTGTTGAGGATGTTTTACATCTTACTTCCACCAATGATGATAGATTCAATGCCTCACTACAGGCTCCAGTTATTATAGGGTGCTGTAATTTATGATTCTTAACCACCTTAATGCCTGAAACTTTGTGTGTTTACTAATTTAACTGGCACTAACAAGGACCTGTCCTAATGTCATGAATTATTCTTGTCACCTATTTTGTTAATGCAGGTGTGGTATGAAGCAAACTGGTGGTTACTTGGATGGGGTTGCCCCTGATGGGCTGATGGGTTTGGGACTTGGAGAAATATCAGTTCCAAGTTTTCTTGCAAAAGCAGGACTGATCCAAAACTCTTTTTCTTTGTGTTTTGATGAGGATGATTCTGGCAGAATTTATTTTGGGGATCATGGAACAGCTATCGAGCAATCAACATCATTCCTTCCTTCAGATGGGAAATAGTATGACCATCTATAATAGATTGCCTCTTATTTAATTATTATTCACTTTTTCCTAGTTCCTTTTTCCCATAGGGTGTTAACTATTATTATTTAACTTTTATCTTTATTCAGTTTAACCTACATTGTCGGAATTGAGGCTTGTTGCATTGGTAATTCTTGTCTTAAGCAGACAAGTTTTAGAGCATTGGTTGATAGTGGGACATCGTTCACATTTCTTCCAGAAGAAGTCTATCAAATAGTAGCTAAGGAGGTATATCTTTGGCGTTTGAACTGCTTAAAGTTATTATGTTATTAATCTGTCTAATTTTGCTTTAATTGATGACAGTTTGATAGACAAGTCAATACTACCATCACAAACTTCCAAGGTTACCCATGGGAGTATTGCTATAAATCCAGGTTAATTTGCTTAAAGAGCTTTGAAACATCTCCTCTTCACCCAGTCATCTCTGTCTTTCTCTGTAACTGTGCTTGGATGTGTAGATGTTTGCATGCACACTCATGCGTGTGCCCGTATGTTATATTGATGAGAACATTAATTTGGCTTTTTTTTGGAACAGTTCAGATGAGTTGCCCAAGTTTCCCTCAATGAAGCTCATGTTCCCACCGAACAACAGCTTTGTAGTCCATAATCCTATATTTATGGTTTATGGCATTGAGGTATACTCTTTTTTTAACCATTTGTGATTTAAGTTGTTTTTCTAATCTTCCTACCTTTTTTCTTTGGATTGGAAACTTCATGAGATGTATGATCAAAGATGATGGTATGGTTATTGAAACCTTTTAGAAGGAGGCAATAGAGTTGTGGGCCTTGTGACATAGGCTTTAGCAAAATGGTAGTAGAGAAAAACATTAAAAGCGTTTTGATAATTCAAAGCACATTCAGATATTAACCTCTCTTAGCTTTGGAAGTAAGATTTATGCATTTGACCTTGTTATCAAAGCATAATAAGAGCCAATGTCTACTTGTGTAGATTCATGACTTCTCAAGAAAAATAAGAACTTTGAGGGATACTTGCACATTTAATTTAAAACTTCACTGTTCTTAATACAAAAGTTAGGGGAATTGGGTTTTAGGCGTTTTGTGAAATCTTTTTTTTTTTTCCCCTTTTTTTTTTCTCTGTTTATTCTTCTTCTTGACGTTCAAATGAATCAAGTCTTATTCTTGGTATCTCTAGTGCATCTGTGTATTTTCTTATGTTGTCCTTGAAACTGAGGTCCTGTATCTTTGGTGGCGTTTGAAACTTCAACCATGATTTATTTCTTGACATAAATATGCTGATTTTATATTGGGTTTGAAATTTTATTTTTTTTTAGAGAGAAATTGATTAAAGAAGCATGCAAGAATAGAATCACCAAACATGCTTTATTTTAATAAAAAGTTACTTCCTATTATTGGGAAAAAGGGAGAGATGGTTATTACTACGTTAGTACATTTTTGGTTTGAAAGGAGGGTTGGTATCACCAACTTTACAAATTCTATTGGACTAGATTTTGTAATCCTGTCTTTTCATCTCTACACTCCTCTAATGGTCAATATGGTGGGAGTCCTAGAATGTTGTTTGGATAATTGGATTGGTCAAACATATCTATTCAGACCTATTCAGACAAATTCAAACTTGTTGACCTTGACCTGCAGGGAGTTGTTGGATTCTGTTTAGCCATACAACCAATGGATGGAGATGTAGGAACAATTGGACGTAAGTATGATAGATTCCATGCTTGCTTGTGCTAGCATTTGATCATGGAATTTTGATTGTAGTGTTAATTACATTTATTTTTGCAGAAAATTTCATGACCGGATATCGAATGGTGTTTGATAGGGAAAATATGACGTTAGGTTGGTCGCGCTCTAAATGTAAGTTTACTATTCTTTTCTGGGTTAAATGTTCGGGGACTTATTTCAGTTTGACTTTGTGGGCTTCCAGAACATCATATTTCAGTCACTATTAAGAGGAAAAGAAGGATATCCTTTCTCATTTCTTAACCTTGGAACTGTGTGCCAATGACTTGCTTAGCTTGTTTTTATAGTTTCTATTAAACTTGTTCGTTGTTAAAGAATGCTATGCTGACACCGCTAGCCGCTGGATACCACATTCACTATGAAAATTCATCCTCCAGGCCCAGGATGTTAGCTATGTTTTCTGAAGAAAGTCTCTAAATTTATTTGATATTCATGAACAGGCCAGGATATGGCTGATGGTAAGAACATGTCACTTACCTCACCAAATGGGGCACCGACCGCAAATCCATTGCCCACAAATGAGCAACGGAGCAATCCCAATGGAAATGCAACATCTCCTGCACTTGCTGGAAGGGCTCCTTCTAAACCTTCAGTTGCATCAACCCGGCTCATTACATCACAGTTTTGGCTATTGAAATTGTTGCCACTGCTCTTCCTTCTCCACGTACTTGTTTCAATTTTCACAATCGATACAGGCAGATTTTAGATTGAGTTATCTATAGGCGTCACATGTATATCCTGCTTTTATTTTATTTTCTTCTTTGGTTTTATTGTACTTGCAACCATCTCTAGTCCACTGCCATCAAATTTTTTCTTGTTATGGCAATCGGATTGAAGAGAAGCATATATGGTATGTCTATTGTATTTACTTTATGCGATAACTACTCAATTTTCCGGTGATTATTAGCCTTATTTTACACAACATTAACGGCCTGTATGATCGAGCTACTGCTCTTTGAAAGGAAAAGGGAGAACGATTTTCTGATATAAGAACCCAGGCCCTAGCTTGGATGGTTAGCCTCTGGTACTGCAACTGATCAGATTTTCTGTTCATTGTAGATGTTCACGGATTTTTGGAGGAAACGGCAGGTTAAATTATTTATTTTCGTCTTACATAAATATATATATATATTTTCTCATGGTCGATATCTTTGAAAATTTTTATATTTTATTAACACTTGTAAAAAACTTAAAAATTAACAATCAAACTCTTTATCTGTATCTTGATTTTATTGGTAATTAAGAGTTTTTCTGTTGGTGTTAAATTATGGAAGGTATTCACAAAAAATGAAAATTATGAAAGGAGTTATTTGTAAAAAAAATAATATATAAGGTATAAATAAGAGATTTCGGCTTCTTTGTATTCTCTTTCCTATCCCCTTTTCCTCTTTAATTTCCTCTCTTTTTTTATTTTGGGTTTTGTATGGTGAGCCACCCTCCCTTATCTCATTATTTGAAGATTACCATTGAACACTTGGATGGTTGGCATCTCTTTCTTCCTCAACAACTATAAAAGATCAGAAGAAATATTAGCTTACCATGGCGAGTAATTATATAGAAGCAGAAGAAAATGGAAGATTATTGAGAATTTTTTTATATAATTTTTCCCTATAACTTAATTAGTTGGATACAGCAAGTAATTATATAAAAGCAAAAGATTTTCATTCTATTTACTTATAATCTGGCCGAATCTCTTAATCCATGAGATTTCCTTTGTGCACCATCTACTTTCGACCTTTCGAGCAGCCCACATGTAAAATTCATAATTTTGATGAAAATTATTGAAAAACAACGTGCTTACTAATGGTTTTCTTTTTGCCTCAGCATAAAGAAAAATCTGAACAAACCCATAGAAGGCAAAAAAAAAAAATCATTTATTTGAAAGCTTTTTCCTTTTTTACTTTAATGTTTAGTTGTGGGATCCACAACTTTTTTCAACCTCTATTTTTGAATTTGATGAAAAGCTTATTTAAAGAGGGAAGAAGCCTGTGTAAACAAATATCTCATTGAGAAAGCAGCCTTAAAGCATTTTCCTTGGTTTGTTAGAAGGAAAGGAAAGGAAGGCATCTACTATTCTGAAGGGAATTGAAGTTCCTTGCAGCTTATCTGACAGTTCCCTCCTAATTTTCTTTCTGGTACAAAACCCAAGCTCTCCCATTTCCACAAACCCATCTTCACACTCTCTCTTCTCTTCTCTTCTCTTCTCATTTCTCATTCCACTCCCCTCCCTTTCAAATCAAACTCAATTATAAAGAAAACCTGCATTGAAACTTTTGGTTTTTCTTCTCTTTAGGAGTTTTCTCTGTACTCAGTTGCACTAATCCTAGAAAAAGCTAGAAATGGGAATTGGAGGAACTTTGGAGTATTTGTCTGATCTGATGAGCAGTAGTGGCCTTAAACACAAGAAGAAGAAGCAATTACAGACTGTGGAGCTCAAGGTGAGGATGGACTGTGATGGGTGTGAGCTTAAGGTCAAGAAAGCCCTATCTTCATTGAGTGGTATGATCTTCTTTTTTCTTTTCCTTCCCATTTTTCTTCCTTTCCTTTCTTCCTCAATTTTATGTTTGAAACATGGCTTGTGTACAGGGGTGAAATCTGTGGACATAAACAGGAAACAGCAGAAGGTGACTGTAACCGGGTACGTCGAAGCAAACAAGGTGTTGAAGAAGGCAAAATCAACAGGGAAAAAGGCTGAGATTTGGCCTTATGTTCCTTACAACCTTGTAGCTCAGCCTTACGTAGCTCAGGCTTATGACAAGAAAGCACCTCCTGGTTATGTCAGAAATGTAGACAACACTGCCACCACTGCCATTGTTACCAGATATGAAGATCCCTACATAACTTTATTCAGTGATGAAAACCCAAATGCCTGCTCTATCATGTAAACGGAGAAAAACTACCCCATCATCTTCCATCCCCTTTGCTTCCCCTGCTACTTCTAGGAGCACCCAGAAACTAGAAAATTAATGTAAAATTCTACTTTAGTACTTTCCTTTTCTTTTCTTTTTTTTTTTTTGGTTGTACTTATCTTTCTAATTAGCGAACTATGAGATGATTGTTGAGTTTGTTTGTATTTTTCCTCTTTCTTTATATTTCTTGTTGCTTGTGCTGATGGTCCTGGGTGAGTACTGGTTTGTAGATTTGCAAGGGAGTTGGTTTTGTGGGGCTAAAGGTGATGAAATGGTTTCAGATACGGTGGAAATAATGCAAGTTGAATGAGGCAACTATAGCAGCCTTCCCCCTTTTCTTATTGTCTTTGTGCAGTGATGTATGAATTTTATGCCCTGCATTTGGCCATCAACAGAGCTATGACATCACAAACTAAGATAGATGCAAGCTGGCTACTACATATGTACATGAAAGGGAAAGTGGCCCTATGAGCAATACCAAATCCTAACGGAACTTTTGCTGTTCATAACTTATGCGTTTTAAATGCAAGATAATAATGAGTTATAAGGATATTAAAAAGAAAAATTATGAGCACATTTTTTAATTTAATATATTTTTTTGATATTTATCTAGTTTATCTATTAAAATATATTATAAATACAAATAATTCAATTTGTTCTTTTATATTTTATGTATGATTATATTTTTAAATATGTTTATCTTTCATTTTATATTAAAAATAATAATTTGTTATTAAATATATTATACAATGTGTTAAATTTAGGGCGTAAAATCGATGTCCTTCTAAATAATAAAAATTAGATTATGGACTGTGGAGATCAGTGACTCAACAATGGCGGTCATCCAAGAACAATAGCTTCAAAGTTTTCAAATTTATTCAAATGAACCCTGGTTGTCAAAAGGAAGAGGAAAACTCTCCCTTTAGCAAAGATGAGAAGACAAAATCCCTAAAGAGGGCACATTCTTTTCTCCTGCTCAAGGCAGCATGAGAAGAGAATCAACGTTCTTTTCTTCTCTTTTTTCCTTTTGCACAACCCATTCTCGGATCCAGAGGAAGCGGAAAAAAATATAATTTTGCCAAAACTAGAGAGATTCAAATGCAATGGAAACAACCAGAGTTCAAAAAAGCATATCCATCCACCGTCAATCAAGCTTTACCCTACAATGGATATGTAAAGTTGATTCAAAAGACGCTCCTAAGCCCAACTTTGCTGCCAAATTTTGACAAATGAATTACATATGAATGTATTAATTAAAGATTCCAATCAATAAAGAGGGGTTGGCTTTAAAGTTTTGTTTAAGAACAGAAAAGAAATTGTGTGTGAATGTAACCAATAACAAATAGAGGGTCTAGTTATTTGAACTTATAGGATTAGTTATTATTTATTGGACATGACCTGCCCTAAACACATGTTCTGTGATTCAGGTTTCCAACAGTGTTGTGTAGAATGAAGTCGAAAAATAATTCCATTGATAAATTTTGAAAGGCCCCAACATTAGGATTATTCTCAACAACAACAGTGGAAGAAATTGACAAACTTTCTACAAATTCAACATTACCAACAAGTCAACAACATATGGATGGCATTGATTAGATAGGTACAAAACTCATGGGGCATGATTCCTGCAGTAGATTGTTTCTATAATAGTTTGCCAATCAGGATGAACAATTTCTCCAAACTTGAGAAAAGTGCCAGGCTGACTGCATAATTCAAATAAACTGGTTTCAGTCTCCTAGTTACAGGCACTTATTCTGTTATTCGTTTGGCATATATATGGGTCCGTCATCCATAGAAGTTTTTCACTTTTTTGCTCTGAAATTTGAGAGAAGCCCAGCAAGCCCTAAACTTGAACTGAATTGTAGAACAAAAGGGAACATTTCAACTCTAACCCCAGCAAGTGATGTATCAAAGAATATTTCAAAGTGCTAATAGAATCTTGGATTGCCAGCATAAGTACCACAACTGATGAAAGCTGAAAACAGATCATCTAAGGGAAAATAAACAACTCCAGATCCAGACTCTTCTAAAAAATGGATGATATCTGGTTGAGAGCCTTGTACACGTCACCCTTTACCTCAGAATCTTGGGGGTAGGGGCCATCATGTTATTAATCCTCCTAGCATGAACTCATATAATATGCGCTATGAAATAAAGTATCTGCCTAACCTGGGGTAGAGGACATCGTGTCATTTGTCCCCCTAGCATGAACTCATATAATATGCAATATGAAACAAAGTATCTACCTAACCTGTTGTCGATTGGCCAAAAAGAAAAAAAAAAACACCTAACCTGTTCCATAGTAGATGGTGACTTAATTAATATCAAAGAATGAATCCTTCATCACTACATTAGAACGGATGATTTTTCAGGAATTGACTGGTGGCAGGGTTGAAATCTTCTTTTAACTAAGTCAGGATTAACTTCTAACTGCTTGTATCCAAATACTAGGAAAGCATAATGTCATCAAGATTCCTATAGATAGAGACAAATTGATACGTTAGGTTAAAAGTGGTGGATATTAGGATTATCTATCATGGATGTTTAGGAAGGTAAGAAACTCACTGGCTTCACTTAGCATTCCCTGAGTAGATACCAACGAAATTAATATCATAGACAAGAGTTGCATTGGCTGGTATATTGCAGTCACCTACAAAAAAGAAATCACTAGGCATGTGCTGAATATTTGTTGCAGAAGAGAATATCAACTTTTAGTTTGCTTCTGTGATAAATCTAACACACAGAAAAAAAAAAAAAAAAGGGAGGAGGGGTTGAGCATAGGGAGAAGAGATGCATGACAAGTCTAGGATGTGGCCCTGCAGTTACTATCAAAGCTTACCCGAAAAGCATCCAGCAGGTTCTGGCCCATATGCTAAGTTTGGTGGAATCTGAAGCTTACGTTTTCCACCTGTATAAAGCCAGCAGTGTAAAGCTTCTTCTAGGAAAATGTGACCAACACATAAAACTAATTCTCGCCTTCAAAATCATACCTACGTTCATTGGAGGGACTCCCTCGCCCCCTAGAATTCCCTGGTCCAATCCCTTAATGACCTGAACATGAAGGAATACAATACAAGGAATTAGAAAAACTTAGCATAGGGTTGAATTTCAAGGAATGGAACTGACTGTCAGTGTTCCTTCTGTTTGCTTAGTCTTCAGAAGATGACAGGATATTGTTTAAGGGGAATAAAATGTGCAATAATGCCATGGCACTACAACATGTCAACAGAACTTTAATGTAAACCAGCATCATCTAAATTGCATATAACTCCCTACCTTAGCAACACCAATACGCATTGTGAGTGGTCTAGCACGTTTATAACTGCTGTCAAAGATTATCCCATCATCAAATCTTGCGGTGTAATGGATCTATATGAAAAGAGAGGAAGACAAGAAACAGATGAAAACAAAGAAAGGTATTTTCATAATTTAATCAACACAATTTAACTAGTTCTACAATACTACCGTGACAATATTACATATTAATTGTCTTACAATGGAAGAGTCAAAATTGAAGAATATTAAAGAACTAGTATCGTGCTTAATGGTATTCTTGAATGCCAAAGATGGGCCAAATTTTGAAAAAAGCTTGGATGAGAAAAATATAATTCACTAGGATAAGTGGGAAAAAAAAATGCTAATTGTCTTGGCAGCATGATTAATGACTGAGCATTTATATTTGCAGACACAAATGACTGCTGCCATTTCGATGTTCTAAATCTCATTAAACAAAGTGCTTTTCTGAAGCATGGTGCTCCTTAGAGTGTCCTTCTTGAGCATTATCAAGCATATACAAACCAATCCAATTCATCTCCTGTTCATACAAATATCTAGCTTTTAAAATTATTAATCCACAACATTAGAGACCAATAAACTGCATCTTACTTAAAGCTGCAATCTTTATAACAAATTTTCCTCCGTCAAACTAATAAAACTTGCTACACAGAGAGCATAACAGAACTAAGAAGCAGTAGAAAAATGTGGATTGTGCCAAAAATGATTCAAACTTTAACGATATTAAACAAGAATTGAACAACACAATGACAACAACACTAGCCCAAATCAAGCAAACAACTCACATTGATAAGCTCTCCGTAAGGAGCCTCCGGGCCAGACCCCACAAGAACATCACAGTAACCAAGCCCAGAGCGAGCAAAATTGAGCTCACATGAAGGTTCCCCCACCGTAGCAAAGTACTGGACCCTCCTGGCATCGGCATTCAATGGTGACAGAGCAAGAACAGAGGCTGCCAAAAGCCCAACACCCGCGCTGAATAGGCATTTGTTGGGTCCAAATTTGGGGTTCGAAGAGGGTTTCATTTCGTTTGAAGGTGGTGAAATGGAACGAGAAGAGCAGGAACAAGAAAATAACCTTGAAGCAAGTCTGCGGTTGGGGCAGAGATTTGGAGTTGCAACGGTCAATGCAAAGGCTGCCATTTTTGATAGTTTAGATTGGGTCTATCCACTTCCAGAGCTCAAGGATGGCCAAGGCAGCAATCTAAAAGGCTGCTGGAAAAGATAAAGGGGCCCGGTTGAAAGGTATATTTTGATAGTTCAACCAGAACAAATGGAGGAACTTAATCAAGTTTTATGATTTTGTATTTATATAAAATTTTAATTATTTTTTTATTTTTAATAATTAAAATTCATTATAATTTTTAATAAAAACTAATTATTTTTAATAGATATAAATAAAGTTTAATTATTAAAAAAAAGAGATTGAACTAAAATTTTATATAAATATAATATATAAAATTTATGTGTAAATAAATCTTTATTCAAATAAATCCTCTGGTAATTTATTATTAAGAAAATCTACAATAATATAATTACAATATAAAATGATAAGTTTATAACATTAGGTGTTATTAAAAAAAGGATTTGTCTAATTTGTGTTTTAAGATATAGGTTAAGAAAGCATTAATTGCATATTTTTGTAATTAATTTATATAAAAAAATAAAAGTTAATTTTAAATTTATCAACTATCAAATTACAATAATTTAAGTGGTATTTGTGTTAAAAATAATCTTTTACTTTCACATTTTTTGCAAAAATTTATTACAAAATAATACATATAATAAAGTTTAACTTGTACTTTAATAATACAAATTAAATAAATTCTTAAATAAATTAATATGCATAATATTATAACAATATCTTTGTTAAGTTTGAGAAAAGGATAAAGAATTTTTTTTATAAAAAAAAGTATTTTATTTTATTTTTTACTTTAATATCTCTACTTATCTAAATGAGAGAGTACGAGCAGAGTAAAAAGTTGATTCCTTCCTTCAATTTCCTCAAACCAACATAAGTAAAAGGAGTTAAAATATGAATACAATTATAGTTATAAATTTACAATAGGGCATGTTATTAAAAATAATGAAGGAATTGCATATATATATATATATATTGGCAGTGTCACTTGAAGGAAAAAGGTGGCAGTAATTAACTTAAAAAACGAGATAAGGAGTCAAAATTACAGTGAACGGTTCTTGGTTGTTGGAAGGGAGTGAATTTTGTTGGTTCGCTATTTTCCAAAACAAACCATTCCACTCTTCAAGGAGAGACTTTTAATATTAACAATTTAATTACGACTCCTTCCTCCATATTTTCTGGACATTTTTTTCTTCTCCATATTTATTATAATTTCCTATCTAATTAAGATCTGGTTGAATTTCTAAATTTGAATTTCGTTGTCTCCTTTTGTTTTAGAAAGCATGGGGCGTGTTAAGCTTCAGATTAAGAGGATAGAAAATAATACCAATCGACAGGTTACCTTCTCCAAAAGAAGAAATGGACTCATCAAAAAGGCCTATGAGCTCTCCATCCTTTGCGACATTGACATTGCTCTCATCATGTTTTCTCCCTCCGGTCGTCTCAGTCATTTTTCCGGCCAGAGAAGGTCTTATATTCTACCCATTATGCATTTCATACTGAACATGCATTTTATCATTTGAATTACAGATTTCCATAGGATGATTTTTTTTTTTTTTTGGGGCAGGATTGAAGATGTACTGTCCCGCTATATAAATTTACCGGATCAAGATAGAGGAAGGTGGTTAATCTTTCTAGTAACACTGATCTTGTTTTGATATATGATGTTTTGCAGCAGGATGATGATTTAATTAGAGTTTTTTTTTTTTGTTTCAATTGTCTGCAGTGTTGTGCGGAATAGAGAGGTGATTAATCTATTTATATAGTGTTTTATATGATCTGGTAATTAAATTAAACATGTAACCTTATAAATTACAGAGATTCTGTGTGTTGAATTAATTTCCTTGTGTTGCAGCTTTTGCTTAGTACCCTGAAGAAACTCAAAGCTGAAAATGATATTGCTCTTCAGCTTGCTAGGTACCTCTTTCCACCAATTTTTCGTTGATACCCATCTGTTTACTTATAGATTGACTTTTCTAATTTATGAATCTCCAGTTCTGCTACTACAAATTCAAATGTTGAGGTAAGAGCACATATATCGAATTAATATAAATGAGAATTTTGCCTCTTTTTTTTTTTTTTTTAGTTGAGACTAACAAACATTCTTGTGTTAATTAGAATCCATAATTTAATTTTTACTTATTCTGTTATGTAGGAAGTTCAACGAGAAATCAGTACTTTAGAACAACAGCTTCAAATGGCCGAGGAACAATTGAGGTTGGGGAATATTAATTTTAGCTAATCTTCTTTACATTTTTTTTAACCTTCTTAAATATGTTCCAAGTAGAATGACATTCTCTTTGTTTCATTAATAACTTCAAAATTAAAGGGTATATGAACCTGAACCTCTAACACTTTCATCAATGGAAGAGATTGAATCTTGTGAGAAGAACCTCAAAGAGGTCTTGGCCCGCATCATGCAGAGAAAGGTGCTCTTCCTTCTCCCCAGTATATTTTAAATTGTAGTAATACTTTTAATCGAAACTGACAAAAAAAAGAAAAAAAAAAGAAGTCAATTTGGGTTGAAATTTACAATAATATATAGTTTACCCATTTTAATTTTTAAATGCAGAATTTTCTTTTGAGTAACCATGTATCTACTTATAACGACCCATCTAGTGTACAGGTAATCAAATGAATACAATTTCTTGCTTATAATTTGCACTTTAGAATTCTATTCATTTTTGGAATTAACAAAAGAATCAAAATTAAAATGCAGATATATTTGGACGCACAAGAGGGCTTCCCAAGCTCATTTGAAAACGACGTCGTTAGTTGGTTGCCGGAGAATGGACAAAACCCGAGCCAATACTGTGCAGGAACCGAATCATCCTGTATTCCAATGACGAACCATTCCTCCTCTTTGATTTTTGATCAGATACAACATGGAACAAACATGAAAGTTGATCATTGTGAAATGGGAGGATGCCACGTCAGCAGTTTGAGTAACGACGGCCTTCCGTCGTGGCATCACAATTACTCTTCGTCGGAGCTCCTATCGGCGTTCATGTCTACCACCTCCTTCCCTCCTCCTCTTATGAAGGTAATTAACTAAGTCCCATCACTCCTCCATTAAAATCTTGTTATTTAGGGGTGATTTCTTTTCTATACAAGTAAAAGTTTTTTTAAATCATATGACGTGCTGTGTATACGGGTGGAGTAAGTTAATCCAACATGTTAACCGGAGAATTTATTTCAGGGGCAGCATGAAAGTGCAAGTCCAAGCATTCCGTCTGTTCTATCGCACCAGCAGGTTGAGTCAGCACTAAATTGCTCTCAAATGCCGTCCGGAGCTGAAGGTGCGAGCTACAAGAGCAATAAGCTGCCACGTCTTAATGTAGATTGAAGACATTCATTAACTTATTAGATTACATAAATTTTGGGGCATAACCTATACAACCCAAAAAAAAAAAAATTATCCTTTTTTTTTTATGAAATTAAGTAATAGAGTTTTAAGTTTTTTTATTACTTAAAACTTAGTTAAGAAGTTTTTATTTATTTAAAAAATAAAATACAACATTCAGATTATGACCTCTAGCTCTTTTAGGCTAATTAGCCTCCCAAATGTATAGGATGATTTAATGAATTTGTTCACCGTGAAGGATAAATGGAATTTTTTGTCCCCAAAGAAAGGACAAATAGATGGAATGCTATAAACCATGAATTAATTTTCGTCCTCCCTTTTTGGCTTATTTTTGAGTTTTTTTGGTAAATGGTTTATTTCTGAGCTTTACTTCAAGGATATTTAATATTTTGTACTAAGAATAGTACATGCCAAACTTCAGCCATAAAAATTAAGAGTTTGTTTATTTTAAATATATTAGATCTTTGTTGATAAATAAATATTGTCTTAAAAATTATAGTTAAAGTTTAAAATTTAAAACTCATATTTAAAAAAATTAATTTTTAAAAATACATTATTTTAATACAGAAGTATACTCTTGAAATGGTTTGGAGATTAATCTCGAGGTGAACAAAACTACTCTAAAAATACGATATACCATTAAAAGAAAAAAAAATCAAGAGTTTTATCAATTTAAAATTACATTATTTTAAAATTTGCAAGAAATGCAACTCAAAACGACAACATTTTGAAAGTCACGCATAAAAACTCGTAACAAAGTAGTTTAAGCTAGAATGTCTAAAATTGATATGTATCTTCTCCTTTTGTATCAATAATTTGTATAGGGAAATGATTTTTGAAGAATCTTTCTGTACCATTTTTTTGTACAACTTGACGTGTTATTTAAATAATAAATTTTTAAAATTTATATGAAATCTACAATATTTAATACATCCACTCATTTAATGTCATACCAAAGTTATATTAAATGTATATGAGTAGAAATTTATTTATACACTATATTTATATAAAATTTTAATAATTTAATTTTTTTATTTTTAATGATTGAAATTTATTTATATTTATTAAAAATAATTATTTTTTATATAAAAGATCATAATAAATCATAATTATTAAAAATAATAATATCATAAATAATCAAAATTTTATATAAATTTAATATATAAAACTTGTTTGTAAGCATTTCTACTCTTTTGCATGTATTAGATTTTGCATGTATTAGATTTAATTAAGTAAATAAAACAAACTATTTTCCTCAAAAATAAAAAGGGAATGCTTCAAGAAATTCAAAATATATTAATACAAAATCTAAAAGGGCGATCTGAGATTGCCAATTACGCACTGCACCTTTGATCTTTGTGAAACTCAAAAATTCTGGCTTCTTGTTCTTTAGTTGAAGCCACAAAAGATATATAAAAATGTTGGCCTCTAGCATTTTCCTCCCACACTCAGCATTTCAACGTGTCATCGCTGACTAAAAAAATGTCAATGTATTTCATAGTGCTAGGCCAGGCCCATGCTTCTCTCACCTCTCACTCTCATTAAATGTCTTTTGCAACTTGAAACACAAAATTGTTCATATTCTTCCAAAGTAGTTTTTGGGTTAATTAGGTTTGCAGCTTTAATTTCAATTGGCCTAGATAACACTGGTTTAGTCTCAATTGGACTAGCTAAAATTGGTGTGCTTCAGCTTCACTCTCAATTGGACTAACATCCCTTTATTGATTTGATTTTCTTATCCGTGTGTGATGAATCTTTTATTGGTTCATGCCAATGTAAATTCTCTTTCCCAGATTTGCAATTGGTTTTAAAAGAAGGGGTAGTTGGGATGAAGAGTCTCGAACCCAGTTCTTTTGCTGCATAAGGTATCATTTTTCCTCTATGTTGTATATAGAAGATTATCTATTGTCCTAAACATTTAATTTAATTTGTTGCCAAAAGACTTTACAGCTTATAAACTTTTTCTTTTTATTTATATATATTTTTTAAGTATATATATATGGTGATACAATCTCAGTTTCAGTTTCTTCAGTCTTCTCTTCTTTTAGGGGAAGCCAACAAATGGTGGGGACTCTTCTGACATAATTTTCTTGGCCTCCAATACAACATTTCAGTTAGATTTGGAGCCTAATTCCATTGTGGTATGTTTTATTTGTGTCTGATGTATACTTCTTTTTTTTTCTTTCATCTTTTTTATATAAAATTTCAAATGAAATTATTGTTTTAGGTCGCTCTGTTTGGGTTTAGCTGATAAACATTTGCATATGGGTTGGCTACATGCAAGCAGCAGTAGGTGGCCTGCATCAACGTAAATTTAATTAAACCACCTATTAATCATTGGTAGCTCAATATGTAGCTTGTCTTCCCATATTATGTTTTAATTCCTTTATTGTTGAAATTAGATTGTAAATTGGATTTAGTTATGATGAGATATTGTTACTGTTGTTTTTAGTACATTACAATAACTTTCATGTATACAATTAAAATTTACTTTCATATCTTAGTTTGTTAAAAATCGTTATTTACATCACTGTTAAACCGTTTAAACGTTAAACCGTTATTTTAAATTTCATGACTTTCATCTTTATTGAATTTTATTCATTGAGAGCAAATATATCAAATAATTAGCTTAAACCCAATTAAAAATGAGTGGAGAGATTTCATCTAATATAGTTATAGAAAAAACTTAAAAATTCATTACATGATTGATATGGAATTTTTCCACATTTGACAATATGCTTTAACAACATACAAATTTTGTGTTTTTGGATTGAGAGAATTAAAGAGAAAGTAAAAAAATAAAAAAAAAATAAAAAGGGGGGGGGGGATTTTTGTTCAATTAAATAAAGGTTTTTTTTTTTGTTTTTGTTTTTTTAAATTATCATTCATATATGTACCATATAAAAACATTACTTAAATTTGGGTACAAAATCAAATTGTGACTTTGTGACTTGATATTATTGGCCATATTTTTGTTTTGTAGAGGAAGTTCGGGATATATGGACCCTCGAGCAACCAACACACAATTTTGGAGGGGTGAAAACTATGTGTACTATTGGCCATGTTATTTCCAACCCCAGACATTCAGGTTCACATCCCTCACTTCTTTCTCCAAGCTATAATTTCTCATTTTGGTTTTTCTTACTTTGTATGTGTAATTGTTGTGTGTTCAATTCTGTTCCAAAAAACAGAGTATCTTTCTTCAACCTGGCCTAAAATTCACTACTTGTTACATTAGGATGCTTTGATACCATATATGGGTTATTCTTCACTTGTTCTACTTTGTCCACAGGTAAAAAATTGATCATAAATTATATAAATTGCATCAATATATATATTTTACTCTTGAGCATGCAGTGAGTGGACTCAATACGAGCAAAATGAAGTTGAGGAGTACCCCCCGTGGCAGACGTACATGTTAAACAATCAGTATGGTACAGTGCCTAAGCTACCAATTCCTGTAAATCAAGCAGATATACCTGCTTTTGGTTCAAGATACCCTTTACCAGATATGAGGACTTCATATTGTAGTGTTCCAATCCAGCAGCTAACTCTCCCAGAACCCTACGCCTCAATGCAGGTACAACGTTGGGTTTTATGTAAGTAAAATGTATACAATTGTAGATCTTATCCACATCCAAAATCAAAACAGGGCTTTAAATATAGAATAATGAATTTTATTTTATTTATTTATTTTCAGATAATGGGATTCAAACGGTATGAGGTAGCAGCAGGAGCAGTCAGAAACCAAGCAGTAAGTTAAAAGACCCTCTGCCTATAATATGTTGTGTTGTGCTTCTCACAAAAAAGAAATAACTTGTAGTCTAGAGTACACTTGACTATATCAAATTAAACAGTATAAGCCATTAGAAGAGAAAAAATCCCTTGGTATAAGGTTGGCCTCTCATCTAATGACTTATGTTACGTAATATAATGTAATTGAAACTGTAAAATACCGGATTCGAAATGAATTAACTTTCTGTATTCTTTCTTAGCAGAGTTTTTGGAATGCGACAATTAATTATTGGGAGGTTGAACAAGATTGCTATTACCCTCTTCCGTCACATTTTATCAACATGAATGATTTTGACTGAGCATGAGCTAAAGGTTTACAGGAGGAAGTTTCAGATTTATCTCCATAACCGGTTGCTTGCAGTTCTTAAAGAAGTATATGTGCATGCAGTTTCTCACCTGTTGTGTTGTTGTAAGCTTAATCCATAGGTGAGAAATTTCAATTCTAATTTCTATATCTTTGAAGTCTTTGTTGTGTTAAAGAATCAAAACATGTCTCCCTTGTTGTCATGTTCATATGAATTCCAGTAAAGATAATATAAATGCTGGATTATTTGGATTCATGAGGTAATTGCCAAAATACCACTTGAAAATAAAAGTGAATTTTAAAGAGATGTTTCAATTAATAAAAATATGAGATTTTAAAGTGTTTAAATTTATATGTTGAGAAAATACAGAGAAAGTATGTAGCAAAACATACTTCCATCCCATTTATGAGACCGCTCGAGAGAGCATTTTTCAGATTTGTTACTAAATAGTTATTTTGTGTCTTAAGTTTGAATTAAATTTGAAATG